TGCGCTCTTCAAATGGAAATCACAAGTATGAGGTTTGACCTTGGCGCGACTTGCACTGATTACCGCCGGTGACTCCTTCGATACCTTCCAATCACATGAAAAAAGCTTGGAAACGTGTCAGTTCATACTCGTTGATCTGCGCAACAGTCAAAGTCGCCATCTTTGTTTATATGAGACCCATATATCTCGCACATGCGCAGCGCGACGACTACCACGCTTTAAGCTCATAGTCAAACGCTTTAGACAACCCGAGTATATGCTATGATATGTTTTCGAAAAAAACAACAGAACTGAGCTATGTCATATTCTCTGGTGTGAATATAAATGCGCCAGAAATAAAGTCGTCCAGGTTATATCTCATTGGCCAAAATAACGGTACTTCGGAAATGTGTTGAGTGAGAAAGAATGTAATCCGTTTAGAATTTGAAGTCACTGATAGTCCTTTTATCGGGAGAATCAACATTACTAGGAATACATTATCATAACTCTTTATCCGATTATTTGATTCATATTAACGTTCCCTTTAAACACTCAGTCGTGTTAGAAAAAAAAATCAAACTGCGTGGACCCACATTGCCTGTAAAATTGTGTATAATGTCGATAATGACCACATCAATGGTTGATTTCTCCAAAGTTTTTTTTGAACTCATTAACTACAATCTGTTATTAACAAGTTATCAATTTACAGGTACTCGGATGAGGCTTAGGTTATACATGACAAAGCGTCAATAATTTGTGAATTTTGTGGCCTGTATTACAGAAAGAAAAGTTTATCCGATGGAGTACTACAAGAATCCATTTTAGGGTCACTTTTGTTTGTCACCTTTATTAATGACATTTGTCAACTGGTTCATCGTCTCATGTACCTAACGCTACTGGTCTTGCAGACGCAAAATATATTGGTGGTCTAAATTGTAGCTGTACATAACTACGTTATGCCGATGTCCTGCTAAGATATGCTAATTCCACACGTATTAATGTCAGTAACAGTGAATGAATGTTGATATTCATTGCTCATAAGTTGGGTATCCAACGTTGCTAAGACGCGCACCACTGCACCATGCATTTCTATGGGCTCTGCGCGAGCTGCTGTGGAACGCCGGTCGGAGAGCCGGTGACAACAGCTAAATTCGAGAAAACAACTCTAACTCAACTTTGTAGTAATCCTGAACAACCAAATTTGTTTATGTTACACACGCAGGGGTAATCTTGTTACACTGTTCAGGGGAGTCCCAACAACCATCCCAAAGTACCGTTTTCTGAAAGTTTTCAACCTTTGTTTTCACCGTGATAGTTGTCAGGCGGTGAAAATACCCGGATGTCCGCCCCGAGAATAGTATTTGACGTTTTATCTGTTTTCTGTTGACGGTAATTCGATTCTTTGTGTACACTCGGATTCAGAGAGTTAAACTCGACGATTAAGTCGAATGTTTATGTAAAAAGCGTTGAACTATTTTCAAAACTACACGCACGTTTTGTTAATTAGACAGCGTATTTTCTATTTCACTGTTTTTCTCACATTTAAATCTTTGAATGGTGAGGCACCTGCATATTTTCGATTTTTTTTTCATTTTTATGATTATATGGTACGATTAGCAGATCGGAAAATTATGAAACTTCTTGCCACTAAAGTTGGAGATAACTTCAAGTCCAATATCAATTGTTTTAAAGCATTCCATAAAAATATAGCCATGTAAACTACTATTATTTTTTGTGTTGCTAATTCTATTTTTATGAGTTATGTGATCTTTGTAATATATTGTTTCATTGTATTTTTCATTGTGATGGAAATTGAAAATTGTTCTGATAGAGCGTGGAGGTAGAAAAGCCTCCATGGATAGAGTAACTCGGCCGATCAGCAAAAAGTGAACATATAAATAAACAAAATATAATACACGTACAATCATGTATTACTCTTTTCTAATGTTTTAAAAGGATAATACTCCTCGAGCAATGCGTGTTCGAATTTCATGTAAACAATGTATTTCACACGCGTTGCATACGTCGCTATGAGTCCCATATTGAACGCGAGGATGCGCGACGACCGCCGCCTTTAACGACCCGAATGACTGACATAGAAGAAAATAGTTTGACTTCACTTTCCTCAGGCAGGGTTTTGGGTAAAAATTAGACATGCCACATTTCGACCCCAATCAGGCATGATGTCACTGATAAATAGTTGCTCGGTTCTAGGTTCTTATGACCTGCGGAGATGTCGAGCATAAACTGATTATTTGTGGCGTGGGACCTATAACTATAAGACGGAAACAGACACTGATCATCCTTCGTCAACTATCCATATGTCACATGACTAACAATAACATTGGTTCTAGCGTAACAACAAACTTCAAGATATCGCTAATATTACTGATATTGATACTGGCTGTAGTTTATTTAGGTAATTGACTATTTACAACTGGGTATTTTCCTAACATCGGGGACTTTAAAATTAGTGGGTTTCCGTGACAACCTACTGCACCTGTCATCTCCTTATCAATCTTTGTTTTACTACATTCCCGGCAATTTGCAGAATTGGCAACAAAACAAATCGTTAAATTGTCGTACCACGCTGAGTTAGGAATAACAGTTTAATTGCCGATCGAGTCAAAACTGAAACAAACAATAATTTCCCCGAGCCCGGATAATGTACCTTGTTTTTCTCAGTCGCTTGTTCGTTTCATTACTTGTTTATTTATTGGTTCGCTTGTTTGTTTGCATGTTAGTGCATTTCCAGTTCGTTCACAATCGCAGTACTTGCTTTCGGATACGATTTCGGTAACGATATGTAGGTAAAAAGTGTTAAAACCGTTATGATATTCTATATTTGCTTGTGCTTGTATTAAATACAGTAACACAATATTGGATTTAGGAGTATTGTGTTAAATGAATCTAAGTTTAAAGGAAGGTAGTCGTCGCCCCACGCATGCGCGAGATATATGGGTGTCATATAAACAAAGATGGCGACTTTAACTGTTGCGCAGATCAACGAGTAAAAAATGAGACGTTACCAAGCTTTAATTAAGTATTTGTAAGTGATTGGTAGGTATCGAAGGAATCATCGGATGTAATTAGTGCAAATCGCGCATACTTGTGATTTCCATTAGAAGAGAGAATAGGATTGTGGGAAAATAAATGTTTATCAACACAAATGTTGCACATGCGCAGCGCGACGACCACTGCCCTTTAAAACAGAAAGCCATAAAACAGTCTGAGCTAATTGTTGGTGATCATTGTTCGTAAAAGAATATTATATGGGAAAATAATAAAGCAATATAAAGCATTACTAGGCCTAGCCTGGACATATCTATAACCCAAGTGGCAACTCAGCGAACCAGACTTAAAGGGCGGCAGTCGTCGTGCCGCGTCCTGATCGATATGGGACTCATAGTGACGTATACATCGCGTGTAAAATACATTGTTTATTTACATGAAATTCGAACACGCGCTGCGCGACGACCACCGCGCTTTAAATAAGTTATTATCGTATCCCTAGCAGTGAAAACAACATAATTTAACCAGCAGTAAAACATGTGTTCGATTGTGTTTGTGACGTCTTCCTTATTTGAATGTGCGTCAGATTTACGTCACTTTCGAATGCATTTATTTTCAAATAAATACGACATAAATTTAATTTGAATAATAGTCAATATAACTAAATAATCAATATAACTAAATGCTTATAGCAAAGGCCTTTCAACCTCCAGTATATGAATATGCATTGCCGTATCATTAAATCATAGTTACTAGATTGAGACTACAAAAATGTGTCTACCCGGAGTGGAAAGGAGGGAAGGAGGACCCTTAAACTCGGTTGATGTATGCCGCCGTCGGCGTTGAGAGCATATCTACCTAGACCGACTTTATTAGATTCAGATACCCACAACGTTCAGTTACGTTGACACGTTCGCTAAGTAGACACATTTGGATTTCCAGTGAATTTTAGACTTTATTTCCAGGCAAAAATTACAATCTATATTCTAAACTAGACTAAATTATGGCATCGTGTCGAAATAGTCGTGATATGTTAACAACATACAGAATTGTACCCGACTGTAAAATATTGAAATTTCGTTTGTAATATATTTTCGCTATAGGGATGATTCAGTGAAAATAATTTGAAAATTCAGCGAATAAACTATTTTCCTATGTTGTACATTCAATTCAGCAAAAATCAGTGAAATTAAACTCCATACAAAACAAAAAGTCTTTTCAGTGAAAATTAATTCCAGCTAAAATAAAGTATTTCACCGTGACAGTATATTAAAAGGGTATATAATCATATACCCTATAGAGAAAGTGGAGATATAGTAAAGAATCATGACACAACAACGTGAACATTTTAACAGTTTTACAAAACAGAATATTTGTGATGTCATAAAAATAATTCCATGCGTTATAGAAAATCAATATATAGAACAATTATTTTAATTAGTACTTATTATAAATAGACATTAATTATCACATCTATATTTCAATACTTATTTCCATGTAAAAATAAAACAAATTTCTATTAAGTCCTAATTAAATTTTAATTTAAGATAAACACTATTAGTACATGTAAAATATTGCAATTAATGGTAAATGTGTGAGTCGAAAACACGAACAATTCGGTGTCCGAAGCATTCAGTTCGTGCACGCATTGTGACCCGACGAAAGCGTCTGAGTCGAGAACACCCGATTGGAACTTATACGTTAAATCCGTGCACGCACTCACTCACCAGTGGAACGCCACCAATCACATATATATTAAAACAACTTCCGTACACACAGACTCAAATGAAATAATGGTTTATTATTTTTGTTCCATTGTAACAATGCGTGTGGTTCGCCGCGTGACCTCGAGTAGTACCACACAATTAATTATATTGTCTAACTCACCTTCATAGTGACGAAGCCATGGTGAATACAGTTGCCATTGGTAACCGTGGTAACTCGGTAGTGAGCAATTTTCCATCATGACCAATTACGATAAATAGTTGTTTGGATAATGAAAAAAAAAAAACGATTGTTGCAGTGTTCCACGACACCGACGAACTGTTTACGATCACAAGCGAGCGGCCACGAACACCAATGAGTTTTCACGAGTAAGACAGAAACAGACCATCGCATCCAGTTTTGAATTCAATTGTGCTAGCATCGTGGTTTTGGTTCTCATCACTGGAATTTGATGAGATAGTGTCGCATCATTGATTACTGTAAACAGATGCGAATTAAGAATTTTCAAATTCCCCATAGATACCGAGTAGTTTACTTTGAAATATTCGATCTCAGCGCGAGAGATCAAGCACGGGGTCAAGCACGTGAGATGACATACATGATGTGGATTTATTATAACCTGAACAGTCATATTTTACTCATGGTGTAAATTATAAAAAAACAAAACTTAAATATTTTACTTCGGTTACCTCAATAAATCTATCTGAATAACCCCAGCGTGCAACGCCGAGTGTTGTTATGAAAACAATGTCTGTTATATTTAGTGTAAATTTAACTAATTATTTTAATTTCATGATTTATTTGTTTCATATATTTGAAAAAAAAACAGTTTATGTATGATTTTCTTGCTCGCATTTAGACTTAATGTCGCGTTCATGATAATGAATGCTGTATTAAATAATTGTTTTAAAGGTCAATTCTGAGACGTCGGTCACAGTGGATATGAGATCTCTGTACACTTTGAAATGTACATTACTCTGGATATTAGCGCCCTCATCCACCACATGCATCACCTATGTTCTCGGACCTGATGTGTAGCTTAGCAGGCTTAAAGGGCGGTGCTCGACGCGCTGCGCATGTGTGCCATTTGTGTTAATAAACATTGATTTTCCCACAATCCAATGTGCTCTTCTAATGGAAATCACAAGTATGAGGTTTGACCTGGGCGCGAATTGCACTAATAATAGCCAGTGACTCCTTCGATACCTTTCAACTTGAATCACTTAAAAACATACATAATTATACCAAAAATACCTAATACCCATATATTTCGCGCATGCGTGGCGTGACCGTGACGGCTCCACGCAGCAGTAAAAAAATAGAAATACATAATGGCTATTTGTCAAGCTCATGTAATTGATGGTTGGGAATATGGCCTCAAGTCCTGCATTTCAGAATCTTGGAGAAAACTTGCTGTCTTCTTACCAACTAAGTGAATCTCCATCACATCAGCGCATTTCAAATTTTTTGCTCATTTCTCATCTACGGGAAATGATGTGAAATACAACATACTGTAATGTACTAATATAAATTATGAACTTTAATTCATAGCTTACATAGTACATCATTTGTTTTTATAAATTGCGCCCTCTAGCCAAAGTAGCGTTTCTGTCACGTCACCATGACGTATACGTGTGGAAGTAATTTCGTTAAAATCGACCAATGTTGTCGTTTGTTATCTAGAATACAGTAAAATCTCCCAAAAACGTATTCATCATTGATGGACGACAACAGATAAAAAAAATATCGTTGTTTTGAACGGTCGTCATATATTAGCTTTTCGCTACTAGAGGGCGCTGTTTACATGGATTTTGTATTGAATGTGTTAAGGGGAAGGCAAGGGGGATAGGTGGTAAAGGTTACAGGAAATAAAAACGGCATTTACGTTTTTACAGGAAATAAAATGAAAATTTCATATACAGTAAAAAATAGGTTTTTACACTTTACAGATAAGCATATTCCTAATTACATTTTACTATTTTATAACATTTTTGATAATTTGTGTTTAAGAATCAAGTTTTGAAATTGCGTACGAATTACGACATTTAATGTGGAAAATGCTTTATACACTTACAAAAAAAGAATCTTTGTATCTTTGAACGATTAAAAAAGCTGATTACATTTTACATCTTGCCCATGGTTACGAACTTATATTTTTGTTATTTATTATTTGTTTATGCTTCTAATTATAGTGTGTGCAAATATTGTGAAAAGAGTTGAGGTGACAGAGTTATATTATTTCGTATTTTCTACATGATTAAATATCAAATAGTTTTGTTACTGCGCGAATACGAACGTTGTAACAAGTTTTCCACAGCTTTCTGACACCAACTGTGGTTATAGTGATCGGTGGATTTGATTCGTCATGGTTACAGTTATTTCGCACATTTATGGCGTCTTAATGTCCATGTCAATAGGTCAGGAAAACAGAAATGAAAAAGTTGATCGCGATCAACAAAATTTCAACGTGCTCATGGTAAATGTGATTTATCTGTGTATATTATAAAACAATCATGGCATAATATTTTCTATGATGCCAAAACATGCACTGATGCCTGTGATTACCACTGGCGGCGCTGTTGTCATAATCATATTCGTTCAATGCACTACGAATATGCGAGATTTGTGTCGATAAACATGCATGTTCCTAAAATTATCCAATGACAAGCAGGAACTCGCATTTTAATCTAGATGCGATGTGCACTAAATACCAACTTCGAATATTCGTGTATTCCAATCATCTCAGGAGTTTCCTAGTTAAATCTTGATACTCTTCTCGTTATTGTACTCGTTGATTTGCACAGCACTCAAAGTCGCCATCTTTGTTTGTATGGGACTCGAACGCGTACGTGATTGAATTGTGTTCCAACGAGTGCCGATTCGCTCAAAAATGCGCCCACCGTAAATTAGTTATTCGGGTTCATGTTTTGTTACTATTGCCAGAAATGAAAGTTAGTCGTAGACGCTTTACGTTTTTCTCAGCTGGTTGTTGATGCATATTTGTCAGATCATTGTCATGTCTGTTACTCTTGTGCGCATGTGCAACACTGAAAACAACGTCAAAAGTAAAGACAATATTAAGTAAGTACTGGGTGCATTTCAAAGCTTTCTTATTATCTGAAATCAAATAGAAAATCAACACGTTGCTATGAATTTGTCGTTTACATTCTCCATATGATATAAATTTGTTGTTTGCAACCTCCATACGAATACAAATTTGTTGTTTACAGTCAACATATGAATACCAATTTGTTGTTTACAATCTCCACATGAATGCAAATTTGTCGTTTACAGTCAACATATGAATACAAATTTGTTGTTTACAATCTCCATATGATTACAAATTTGTCGTTTACAGTCAATATATGAATACAAATTTGTTGTTTACAATTTCCAATACCCCAGGAAAGTGTTCTAGGTTCTTCGTGTAATTAGGTGTTCGTATGCAAGGGATTTTACCACATAAAAACGCGAATTAGACCGAATTTTGTTATCGGTTGGCTTAATATAACCCCAATGAATCGTATTTTTGCGAAAGATTGGTATTTTTATCCTGATTTGTAGGAATCTGAAAAACGCGTTTCACAACTTGTTTCTTATTTAGTTTTATGCGTCATTCAAGATGGCGGCCCCATGTACTAAATATCGTATTTATTTTATTATCACGTGTGCGCCAGCTGACTGTGGTTCCTACCGTGATAGGTAAACTTTCCCATCAGAGTGTTTTTTGGAAATGTCTGATTTGCAGTTGCAGAGATAGGGCCCCAATGTTGAAGAAAAGTGAACACGATTGCAGTCAGAGAGCGGATAATGCAGTGTAGTACATTGTAGTCAAAACATACCCATTAACAACTCCAAAATAGTAATGTACGACTTTTTTATGTAAGAAATCTGCATCCGTAAACCGTTTACGATACCAAAAACATTACATTAAAGTTGAATCGTTTCATAAACTTAAAAAAAAAATGCCAAACAAAGTTTCGAAAACCATTGTAAACTTAATATAAATTGTCCGCAATTCGCGCAAATTCAGAACATCAAACATCGATGTCGATGTGTCTTTTCTGTACCCAACGCTACTATACAAACGAAAGAAATCCCTAGTTGGTCATTGGTGGCGATGTTCACACGTTCGTTAAACATGCAGCGAACATGTTTTGTATTAATGTCGAAGTTGTCGACGACATTGTTTACATTCGCCTCATTTGACGTCACAGAAACGCTTGGTCATTAAAAGTGAATTTGTATTCAAATTACAAGCCGTAAAATATTCTTATTATCTCGATTCTGAATTCAATCCTGATTTAATTAATTTTCTTTCTCAAGTTACGTTTTCTGTTTTAGAAAATGGACAAATATTTCCATCACACAATTTGAATGTTCTCGAAATTGTTAAATCACTGTGTATTTGTCAGAACAGTGCGAATAGCATTGTAGCATGCGCTTATCCCGTGGGAATAACATAATTGAAATAACCTTTGCCCCTCCGCCATTGTTCACGTAATTTTCCTTCGCATAATCTGTTATTAAAAACAAATTACGAAAGATACCCATCTGGTTTCCTCTGCTCAATAATATAAAATCATTCCTACTCTAACAAAAAATTAAAACTATTATATAACATTTGCAGATCACACGACTGTATTCGTTAAACGAAAAATCGAAAAAAAGACTAATACGCTATTGTATGTATCAAAACAACCAGCGTAAATCTACATTGGAGTATGTTCTTGTTTCATCGAACGCATACTCGTATATGCGCGGTGGTCGTCGCGCAGCGCGTGATCAAATTTCATGTAAATAAACAATGTATTTTACACGCGTTGTATATGTCGCTATGAGTCCCATATCGAACAGGACGCGGCGTGACGACTGTCGTCCTTTAAAAATGACACGTTCTCGTCCATATTGTATCTTTAAAACTTGTACTTATTGTATTGATCGGTAATATCTTGAATTTCTGAATCAGATGTTTGGTAACTTGAACCTTATAGATTACGTAATAGTGATACATACCGTATGAACTGTGATTTGAATAACTATCATTTAACTGAGTATATAATATAACAAATTGCAGTATGTTCACACGTCGCGCAGCGCGTGTTCTTATTTCATGTAAATAAACAATGTATTTTACACGCGTTGTATACGTCGTTATGAGTTCCATATCGAACAGGACGCGGCGGGACGTCTGCCGCCCTTTAATAAATACTTGTTTGAAAGCATCATCCATTCCGT